CCATTTATTCATTCTTTTATATTTATTTCAAAGGTTTCAGAGGTTTCAGCTCCTAATAAAACTCACTCTTTTGCCAAATTATAAAAACTTACTTTCAAATTCGACTCTTCTTTTTTTTTTTATCATTAATCTTTTATCTCATTAATTTCATTAACTACACCACTCACCTTTGATTCACTTTATTTTTCATTAAAAATGCCTGCCGATGAAAATCAAAAATTCACTGGACATCTTGGTAGTTTGAGTAAACATCAAGCTGAAACCTTAGAAACTTTCCGTAAGGAAATTAAGGAAGCTGGTATTTTCGAAGAAAGACGTCACTTTGATGCCTGTTTACTTCGTTTTTTACGTGCCAGAAAGTTTGACCTTCCTAAAACTAAAAAAATGTTTATGGATTGTGAGAAATGGCGAAAAGACTTCGGAGTTGACGATTTAGTCAAGAATTTCGATTATACGGAACGGGAGGAGGTTATGAAACATTTCCCTCGATATTATCACAAGACCGACAATGAGGGACGTCCTATTTACATAGAAGAAATTGGAAGAGTTGATATTAAATCTTTATATCAAATTACTACCCTTGAACGTCAAATTCAAAACTTGGTTGTGGAATATGAAAAACTTGCAGATATTCGACTTCCAGCTTGTTCGGCAAAATGTGGTACCCTTATCGAAACTTCTTGTACCATCTTAGATCTTAAAGGTGTATCTTTGCGTTCTTTCTCGAATGTATTTAGTTTCGTTAAACAAGCTTCTAATATTGGACAAAATTATTATCCGGAACGTATGGGTAAATTTTATATCATTAATGCTCCTATGCTTTTTTCTTCTGTGTGGGGTATTGTAAAACCTTTATTGGATGAAGTGACTGCTGCCAAAATTACAATTTTGGGTTATAAATATCCATCAACATTATTAAAAAATATTCCTGCCGAAAATTTACCTGCTGCTTTTGGAGGGAAATGTAATTGTGAAGGTGGTTGTCAACTTAGTGATGCTGGTCCATGGAATAAATGCTAAGTAAAAAAAAAAAAAAAGGTGAAATGAGGATGGGATTTTTGGGGGGTTAACAACAATGAACAATTTTCCTTTCAAAATTTCTTTTTTTTTTTAGTTGCAATAGAATGTATGTTAATCTTTGGCAAATATTTCTTATTTTGCATTTATACAATTTTCTATACAATACAATAATCCATTTCACTTTCATCCTTTTAATAAGTTACATATATTATTTTTTTTTT